ACCTTAGTTGGATTTTCCTTCTTGTAGAAAGAAATTACAAATCTTATATTTGGCTAGTCCTTTATTTTGTAGGAAAAAATTTGGACTTCTATAAATTGAGGATCCTTCTTTCTCATTCAGTAGCATCCACAATGTAGCCATTGGGGGCTTGAGAGTCGTGTTTAGGGGGAGAACTTTACGGGACAAGTGTTAGTGTGTCACTTGTGTTTGCTTTTCGTGAAGTTGTTCTCTCGATATTTTGTACTCTCTTTTATATAGTGGATTGCTCATCTCCGCCGTGAACGTAGGTCAATTGATCGAACCGCATTAAATGTTTGTGTCTTTTTTGGTATATTTCTCTTTTGTTGTCTGATTTATCGTCGTTCAAGTGTTGCTTTACTAGCTTCCGCATGACACTTGATTATTTCGGTCCTAACACATCTTTTGTCATGAGGGTGGATTCGAAAATAGTCTTAGGAAAAGAAAGAAGACAAATATGATATACTAGCTCCAATACGCAAGTCGAGATTAGCTATATGAATCTGCATCATCGATATTGTGTCATTTAATCTCATGTTCAAATATTATGGTTTCACAAAGCTTTTATCTTTTAAGTTCTTAAGACCACAACTTAAAAAAAAAAGAATTTCTTAGATTCCGTATTGTGTCAAATTATATCATATAAATTGAAGCAAAGAAAATATAAAACAGGATATAATACAAATAAAAAGAGCTAAAAGTTTTCTATCTATTTTTTACTGGCATATAAATCTCCAATAAAACTACATGACATACAAAAGATATATCTGCAGAAAATGTACTAACATTATAAGCTTAATCCAAACTAATCGAAATGATTCATAAAATTTTTGTTTTTCATCATGCTCTACCAGAGAAGATTTTTAATGAGATTAGAACCCTACACGGCTGCACGTAAATAAATAGCACAGATCGAGAAGGTGCAACCAATAAACCTTTGTCGATGTTTCAGCCGAATGGATTTTCCTAATTTTCAGCAAAGTTAAGGAGAACCAACACTATAGTTGCTCCTTTAATTTGTCCTTTTCTTTTGGCTTGTAGTCTTTTCAATAACATGACTGCTAACTGAAATAGTTAAAATGCAAACTATTTAATGACTACGCTATTTGTCGTGCATGTTGACTTTTGTATATTTAATTAAATTTGGAGAATAAAATTAGAGATTATATTGTGTTAACAAAATAAAATTGTATATGTCTATAATGTTATAAAGTCCTGCTTTTACAAATGAAGCACTAGGCAGTGGATTGGGAATAGAGTGTGCATATTAATTATCTACGTAAAGGAATGGTATAATTAGAAATAGAAATAGGTATCATGAGGTTATCACAAAATTTACATAAAGATTAAAATAATCAATCGTCTCCTTATGATCTTTTATACTGAACTATTAGTTACTAAATTAGATAAGGTTGTTTACAATAATTCTAAATGAATTTGATAGTCATATGTATTTCTCTCAACAACAAAAAAACGCGTTCTAGCTTGCTATAAGTAAAGTACGTGGTATCATCACTAAAGAATTAAGTTGCATTTCCAATAATAACATATGCTCAACTCAACATCAATGATTCCTTCACGCAACAGAATTTTGTAAGAAAAAAAATTAAAGAATTCAAAATATTTACGTCAAAGATTGCGTGTAATCAACCTCGTCTCAATGATTAATTATAGAATATATCATATCAGTAAAGCACTATTAGATCATGTTATGCTACATTTCAAGTCACTAGCATTTTCTGGAAAGAAAAAGCACTTACATTTTGTAATAATCTTTGCATTTTGAAATTTATTTTTTGAGATCCTGAAGGGATAGTTTGGTGGTTGAGAAATTGCATTTTAACCTACACATTTTTATATTTACAATTTTTAATGATCTCTTAATTATATGTCGTTCGCTTGGACCTTTCCATATTTGTTTGTTATATATCAAGAAAATTCTACTGTATTACCAGAGGAAGTTTCATATTATTATTATGAATTCCAAAATAAATTTGATTATGTTGAAAGGAGAAATCTAAATATAGAATCTCCAATCTTGCCCCCATCCCCGGAAATATTTGGGAGAATTTAGCTCCAACTCTCCCCTATTTTTATCCCCAAAATGGGGGATGAATAGTGTTCCCTCAAATATATGGTACACTATTCATTTTCCCCTGTTACTATTCATCACCTTTTTATTATTATTTTATTATTTAATCTTTTAATTTATCTCTTTTTATATATTACCTAATTATGTTTATGTAATGTCTTTATAATATTAATATTATATCTTAACTTTGGTGTATAATTTTGATAGATTAATTTTCGTGCATTTATTATTTTTATGTAGAAATGGCAGTAGATGAAAATCAACAATTTCAAGAATTTTTATTTCGACATAGAAGAATTAAGGACAAAGATGCTCATTTTGCACTTCATAATGCATTAATAGATCATTTATGGGAGATTACTAGAGGTAGAAGTTGAATATTTATCTAGTATTTCGAATGAATTTTATCGTTAGGTAATATGCATTTAATTAATCTTGTATCGCAATAATTTCACTTTTATTTGAACTATTAGTTAATCTATAATAATTGCTTACAAATTATATTATTTAAAATTTTATGGAATTATTTTAATCATGGAAATTACAAATTAATAAAAATAAAAGATGGAATTTATTTAATAGAAATTAAAAAATAAAATTAAAATGAAAGATGATAATATAATATAGAAGAATTAGAAGAATATAAAAAGGTTTGGGGGAAAAAATGAGGGAATAGTTGGAGTAAGTTGTCCCCAAAATGAGGAAAAAATAAAAAATGGAGTAAAGATTGAAGATGTCGTTATAAGTTGGTTCTAATTTGACATCCTCGTAACTAATATGGGCATAATTGGATCTCCCTTCCTAAAAAAAGCCATGTGCCAATGAAAGTAGAGCTGACCAATTTCTTCAACTTGATGCTTGATTTTTAAAATCTCTTATCCAAATCATGTTAATTAAAACTTGAGGAAATTTTCCAAAGAAGCAATTTTTTTATCTCGTTTACTTATTAATTTGCTACTTCTCACCGTTGAATGCCTCCTTAACAGTATTTTGCATCTGCCAAACAAAACAAATAAATTATGACCGAAATATCATTTTTTTAATTTTGAAAAAAGAAAGAAAGTAAAAGTGTGAACTGCTACGTGTCAAATGTAGAGCACGTGATAAGCCTCAAACCAACTTTATGTGGACAACTCACGCCTATGTCGTTGGGCTTTATTGGCCCATATTGAACGTTTTTTATTATTTAAGACAAATTAGGTCCAGATCTTCTGGTATATGTTCCAGTACACCCGCGATATGGGCCCACAGTCCACTTGACTTTGGAATTGGCACTTTCGCGTCCGTGGGCCCACTCCGAACAAAGTAGGGGCAAAGGGTAAGAGATTATTATCCACTTACCGATTGACACGTGTACATGACCACCAGCTTGCCCACTTTTATTTTGATAACGTTATCTCCCATTGATTGGGCTGTGGTTACACGTGTCCACTCGACACACATCTTCTTAGCCCATTACTAAAGTTGGTGTTATAATGAACTCAATAATGCTACATATATACATACAATTAAAGATAGATAATTAATAGTAGTAGATAATTTTAGGGAGCAATTCTACCACATGTCGAGAATAAAAGATAAAATAGAGGTGTAGTTAAACGAAGTGATATTAGCTCCTGATTTCTGCCTTTTCTAATGATTTATTATTATAACTCCTTCTATCTTAAGGATGTCATATTTTTATATTTAATAATAGTTTAATATTAATTTTTTTATTTTAACCTTAATAAAATAATTTATAACTACAGAATATCTAAGAGGTGTTTCTAAACACAAATTTTATTTATTTCTTAAACTCCGTGTACGATTTTAACCATTTGACTCCCCATGCACATTTTGTTTTAAGAAAGCAAATGTATCATGATAAAACTGGGATTGAACATTGAACGGGTTGAGCCTGTTCTTGATTACACCATTCTATTTTAAATAAAGGAAGTAATATTATTTCGAAAATTGCGGTAGCTGTAACTTGTTATGCAGTAGCAAAGCTAGATATTTCATTACGATGATATAAATTTTACAAAAATAGGCAATTTATCATGCATTTTATTATTTTTAGCTTGTAATATACATGTATAATAAGTAAATATTTTGCGCAAGGGTATCATATGAACCCCTTGCTTCAATGTGGCTCCTCCATTGCTTTTATGCATAGTAGGGGTGACAAATGGACGAGTCGGGTCGAATATGAGCGGATCAAAAACGGTAAAGCAAAAATAGATAAATTATCCAACCTGACCCATATGTAATACGTATAAAAAAACGGGTTAACCGTCCATGACTTCTTGAATATGATCACTTTTGAGAGAATTCCTATCATCCTAAATTTGAGGAACCCCCAATTTGAGACTTTACAAATGTAAAAGTTAAACTCATTAGTTATCCATTGCTTATCCATTTTCTAAGTGAATAATATGGTTCTTATCCATATTTGACCTGTTTTTAAAAAGTTTATTATCCAACCCATTTTTTAGTGAATAATATAAGTGAATAATTATTTTCTTTTAATCATTTTGTCACCGCTAATACACATAGTATCAATCAGAAAGTTAGTTAGCTTGTGTTGACTTTCATTTTTTAAATTAAGCTACTAACACAGCAGAAAAGTGGGAATTAGGCCAATTTGCTTTACTTATCCAACAAAACTTACAATACAATCACTTGAAATGTTGCATTTTGTCAGATGTAAGGTGCACTCTTACATAAAAGTACTAAGAAATTTTTTGACCTAAAAAGGATGTACTTGGATCCTGAACCAACAACTAATTAGACATACAGTGGGACCATAAATTAGTATGAAATTTACGTGTCTTTGCTCTGACCAAAAAAATTGAATGTCACTGGGAAAAATGGTAAAAATGTGGAAAATAAAAAGAGGAGATAAAATCTGAATCACTCAATTTTAATCAGCACGAGTGAACAAGAACTAGTAGTACTAACAAAAAACAAATTTGAAAAATTGAATGGTATAAAATGCCTCAGAAATTATAGGAGTGTAATTTAAACAAGGAAAAGCTGCTAAATTCTGGGAGAATATTGAGATCAGCAGCAAGAAGGTGGTCTCATCTTGTTACTTTCTTTCAACTAATTGGAGGATTCTTTCAATATTAACAGGTCAGTTGTTTAATTCCGCTGTAGCTTTCATTGTTCTGGTTTGTTGCTTTATAATACTAAAAGATTTGAAGACCCTTGCCTTTTCTAGACAGTTTCTACGTGTATCAAAGTTAGAAAGCGAGCTTATTATAATCTAGTTGACTATATATAGAAAGCTCCCATCACCTGAAAAAAGTGTGAAGTTTTTTGTCATTTGGGTTCGTGCTTTCAATACTAATATTTTAAAGCTCCTTTTTTTGTGCTGTTGCTGATTTGATTCTTGGTACTGTGATATGTTTTAATAACAAAGTTTGAATTTTTATACTTTTGAGTGGTCATAACTGTATCACCAGTATATATGATAAGTATTTGGTTTATCTCATTGTGCAGAAACCCAGAAAGAATAACAGGTTTTGCTTCTTGTTGATGAGTGCATTTGCCTCTGCTTGTGTAAGGCAAAGTCGGTTCACTTTCTTATATCCGATTTTTATAATCGTTGAAATTAGTGGATAGACTCTAGTGGATATCTACAAGTATTGGTTTTTTGATAAAATAGGCTGAGGTGAGAAGGTAACATAAAGGAAAGACAAAAACTTGGGAATTGTTTTAGACCACCGAGGTTTCTTGTTTCATGAGCATGTCTGTTGCTTTGTTGTGGGTTGTTTCTCCCACTTCCGAGGTCTCGAATGGGACAGGATTGTTGGATTCAGTCCGAGAAGGAAACCGCGTCTTTGTATCATCCAGGTTCCTAGCTCGAGATAGGAATTTGATGTGGAATGGGAGAATCAAGAAAGGTGGGAGACAAAGGTGGAATTTTGGCTCTTTAATTGCTGATCCAAGATATTCATGCTTGGGTGGATCAAGAACTGAAAAGGGAAGCAGTTTCTCTGTACAGTCCAGTTTGGTGGCTAGCCCAGCTGGAGAAATGACAGTGTCATCAGAGAAAAAGGTCTATGATGTGGTATTGAAGCAAGCAGCTTTAGTGAAGAGGCAGCTGAGATCTACCGATGAATTAGAAGTGAAACCTGATATAGTTGTTCCAGGGAATTTGGGCTTGTTGAGTGAAGCATATGATCGTTGTGGCGAAGTATGTGCAGAGTATGCAAAGACATTTTACTTAGGTCAGTCTCAGCCTCTTTTATCTTTAGTTTACAAATTCTTGATTAAGGGACCAATTGATGAAAACATAATCTGATCTTTATTTGGTTCTTATTCAGGAACAAAGCTAATGACTCCAGAGAGAAGAAGAGCTATCTGGGCAATATATGGTGTGTATATCTGTGCTTAACTGGGGACATAAAAGGGAATATTATAGGTGCATGTGAGCTCTACTAGTTTATGAGGCATTATTATATGCATAAAGAGAATGATCTAATTTCTTATACCATATACAACAGTCAAAATGAGTGGAAGAAGTGCAAAAATTATAAGACTGGATCCAGGGAAGAGTAACATGCTTTTACTGTTAGTTTTATCAAACTTTCTTGGGAATCTTTGACATAATTTCTACTTTTGGCTGGCCGGAGATTACGCTTTGTGTAAAAAAATCTTATGTTCTTTATACAATCCATAAGGGTAAAGAGAGTAGAATTCAGATCATTTAAAACTGGTGATCTGATTGTTTCTCTTTCCCATTTTGTTTGGCAATCTTCAAAATGTGGTCACACTTTGTGAATAGTCATTTATGGTAAACTCTTGATGAGATTGACAGCAATTTTGTATAAAGAAATTTTCACCTGAAGAAAGCTTCTTGTTGGGTTGTTTTTAAACAGTGTGGTGCAGGAGAACGGATGAGCTAGTCGATGGCCCTAACGCATCACACATAACTCCACAAGCTTTAGACAGGTGGGAGGCCAGGCTGGAAGATATTTTCAGTGGGCGGCCATTTGATATGCTTGATGCTGCTTTATCCGATACTGTCTCCAGATTTCCTGTTGATATTCAGGTTTAGTATTTCTTTTGATCATCTTTATCTTCTCCATCTAATTTGATTATTAGGAACTAGTTTACCTTTACTGTCCTTGGCATATATGTGAGGATTCAGATTGTGTTCTTATTCTGTATTCATCAGTCTTCGATAACCCCTCTATTCTATGTGTGTTGAAAGCCTAAATACTATGCTAGTTTTGTTTCAATAACCTCTTTTATATCCTTCAGAAGGGTTCATATTGCATTTGAAGTCATAAAAAACTTGTTTCTTTAGCCCACATCTTTAGGTTACTGTATTGGGAAATATGGTCTTCATTCACATAATTTAAGGAAGTTGTTTGCTCGCTATCTAATTCTTCATCTACCTTGGTGCAGCCATTCAGAGATATGATAGAAGGAATGCGTATGGACTTGTGGAAATCCAGATATAACAACTTCGATGAGCTATATCTCTATTGTTATTATGTTGCTGGTACAGTAGGACTGATGAGTGTTCCAGTTATGGGTATTGCACCTGAATCAAAGGCAACAACAGAGAGTGTATATAATGCTGCTTTGGCTTTAGGGCTTGCAAATCAACTAACCAATATACTCAGAGATGTAGGAGAAGAGTAAGCATGACGCTACATTTAATGCACATTGAACATGCCCAAAAAAGGTCAAAAGAGTTAGGAAAAACTCAGTGGCTAATCATCTCTTAGTATAGCTACATTAAGTACTTAAAACTTAGTTCTATTCTTACATATTTCCTTTTGTTATACAGTGCCAGAAGAGGACGAGTATACTTACCTCAAGATGAATTAGCACAGGCAGGGCTTTCTGATGAAGATATATTTGCTGGAAGAGTGACCGATAAGTGGAGGAACTTTATGAAGAAACAAATTCAGAGGGCGAGGAAATTCTTTGATGAGTCAGAGAAAGGTGTCACAGAACTGGACTCTGCTAGTAGATGGCCTGTAAGTAGTCTTAAGATTACAATTGATTGCTTGTGTCCAGTAGTTTTTCTTCCTATTGTTTTACCTGCTAGGAGATATGAACCAAGTTTTCTATCGAAAAACCATTAACTGGTAGGCATTGATAGGTATCATAGTATCCAATTTTCAACAGCATTCTCTTTTGGTGATGTATCATGCTTCTTTAAATCCTTTAATCGTGCTCAAATCTTCTCTATTATGTTCTGCTTATATTCCTACACCACAGAGGAAAGAAAGCTTGATCGGCGTACTTATGCATTGATGGTTTAATGTTGCATTGAGCTTACATTCTGAATCTATATTCTACTACTTAGTATGGCAATGAGCTGATTTTTTTGTCGTTGCAGGTGTTAGCAGCGCTGCTGTTGTATCGCAAGATATTGGACGAGATTGAAGCCAATGACTACAATAACTTCACAAGGAGGGCTTATGTTAGCAAGCCAAAGAAGCTTCTCACCTTGCCCATTGCTTATGCAAAATCTCTTGTGCCCCCTAATAGAACTTCCTCTCCACTAGCAAAAACATGAATGTAGTTGAGTCTATGAGGAATATACACTAAAGAAACTCAGGTACTTGTAAATGAGATATCTTTTGTTAAATGTGTATCATCAAAAGTAGATTGTAAATTCAATATGACAATCTCTTGGTAGAATATTTTCTCCACACTCATCAAACCCTCAAGGGTGAAAATTATTTTAGTTCATGTAAAGAATTAACTTCCTTCACTGTGTACCTATATTCTTCTGCTTTCATTTTTTTTAAAAGATCAAAGTGTTGGAAGTGTGTGAGCAAAGTCCCATATGGATAGTAGAAAAGAAAAAGAAGCTACTTAAATGGAGTTGGATACTGTCAATGCTGTGAGGCCTTTTGGGGAAAACCTTGCGGGTTTGGCCCATAGCGGACAATATCGCATCATGTTAAGAGTAGTTTTGGACTATTTTAGCCCAACAACTGGTATCAGATTCAATGGTTTGGCGGGACTGGAGATGGCGGAGTGTGGCGTGGGGGCCCGGCTTAGTGCCTTTGTCCGTTTACGGGGTCTAAAACCTTTATGAAAAATAAATTTTTTGAATTTTTCTACTTTACTAAGGAACATTTTTCCATATTGGAGAAGGAAATCTCATTTGTCGAGTATATATATAAATGCACTTCTTCTAACTTTTAAATAGTTAGAGAAGAAGTCAAGTGTAATTGTCATCGATAATCAGATATTTTGGGATTCTAAATCCCAAAGCTTTCAAGATCATGGGTTTTAATAATTCAGATCCCTTTTACTTTATATTGTTTTACCCTTTTTCATAGCCCTTCACATACTAAAAGCGGACGCACTTGGTAAGTTTGGTATCTGGAGTTCAATTTCATTGTTTCTATTTTTTTAAACTTTGAAAATGTACATCGACTTTAACTCGAACAAATTAAATAATTGCATGGTCACTAACTCACTATCAATGTTTTAAAAGGCGGAGGCATGAGGCTGGGCGTTTTACCTCTGACAAGGCGGGGCGTAAGCCCTGAGACATGTGGCGTAAGTCTTACGGATCTTTAAATTTTATTAATTTCAAAAATTTTAAAATCGGATAAAATAAAAAATAACTATAAAAATTACATTAAAATAAAAAAAAGATAAAAAATAATCTATTTAAAATAGTTATAAATTATAATTCAACTATGAATAATACGAAAAGTATGACATATATCATAATATGCAAATTAGTTGCAACGTCGTTACAATTCAAACATCAAAAGTAATGTATTCAATGCGAAATCATATATGTATCTCTTATGGAGTAATGAATCTTCAAAGAATTTCAATATTATAATTTGATTTTCTTTAAAATACTCCTTTTATTTCATATGCTTTCCGTTTGAAAGAGAATTTATATAAAAACATAATTCACAATTTAAATATGATTCTCTAGTATCATTTATTTATAAGTTTCAACAAGTTAATAAAGTGACACATAATTTACCATACTATACCATGATAACTAATTATTCCTAAATAGTTACTAGCTAATACTGAGCTATTAAATTAATAAGTATTGTATCTCGTAAATGTGGAAAAAAAATATTTAGGAAAATAATTATAAAAAAATTTCGGACTATTATCTAATAAATACATAACAAAAGTTAATAAATAAATACTTTTAAATGAAAGATTTATTTAAAATTTACTATCATAGCAGTCTTAGTGGATAACGTGCAATAATTTTTATTTTAGTTATGAGATAAAATACTCTCAACTTAATGATTTATGATTAACAAAAAAGTAATTTTGAATAGTCAACGATTTATTAAGAAAAATTGAGGATTTACAAGGTTATTTACACACAATTGCATAAAGTTCAATTAGGCGAGCCCAGTACGCTGGGTATTGGGCGTGTCCGGACGTAAGCCCCGACGGCCGAGACGTAAGTCTCACGGAACTAAGCCTCACATATAAGCCCAAGGGCATTTTATGTGTGCTTCACCCAGGGCGAGGCCCAGACAAGTCCCAATCTGCCTTTTAAAACAGAGCTCACTATTTATTTAACGATCTATCTTCATGCGATTCAATAGAAGGTAACATTGCATCATTTTTTTGGAATTCTTTCTAAATATGAGTTGTCTAAAGCCTTTATGTTTACAGTTGATGACGGCAGAGATCGATCGACAAGAAAATCTTATCTAAGATCTTTCTTAGTTTCTTGAGAATATAATTCTTCACTAGATTAAATGAATCTGTTAAAGAAATCGAACAGTTTCAAAAATTGGTCAACTTAGTTGATGAAAGCTTGCTAGAGAGTAGAGACTACGGAGGCAAAAATCCTAGAACGACAAAGTTGCTGACAATATAGCTGGCCACTTCGGAAAACTTTGTCTAATAGTTGCTTACAATAATTACTAAAGATTGAATCTATGTTCTTTGGATGAAAGAAAAGGTAAGGCTTCAAAGTTACGACTAAATATTTTAATTTCAGAATGAATGGACCTATACGTGGACGATGATAAATTGTAAAAATAGCCCAGGCTAGTCAGTTTTTGGACTGGTCATTGAAAAGTAATCTGCGTTTGTTAAGTCATTGAAAAATAGCTACTATTTTGCTGCAATACGGAAAGTTCCAGCATTATATACTGGAGATCGATGTACTTGTGTATGAACTTCAAGCATATTATACTGGACCGTTATATTATACTGGAACTCCAGTATACTTATGTTGGAACTCCAGTATAATTCATAAATATTAACCGGAGTTGATGATTGTTGGTGCACTATGTGGGGTCCATCCCATAAATCAAGGAAGAAAATTTCTTCCTTGATTAGCAACCCACGTTTCTTTTGTTGTTTGTGTCAAAATCGACAGGCTTGCAGAAGGAAATGTCAAATGTAGTAGGCGAGGCTCTGCCTATAAAAGGAGAGCTTCGGCTCTCATTTTGACACATCAATCTCAGAGGAAAAATATATCTGAGAGTTAGAAAGAAAGAGTGAGGTTTCACAGGCAGGGTATAAGAAAATAGTCTGTGAGAAAAATAGAGAGTGAATGATATTGTAGTGAGGTGGGAATATAAAAAAAAGGTTATTTCTTTTGAGTGTTGTAGTGGTCTTTTGAGTATTTTACTCGGACCTACAAAGTGTAAAATTCCTTGCTATAGTGATATTAGTTGCTCTTCTCAGGGCCGTGGTTTTTTCTCTTGTTCAAAAGGGGTTTCCACGTAAAAATCTTGGTGTCGTTGTTACTTTTTTATTCTTGTTAATTACTGTATCTCGGTGCTACGTTATTATTCCGCTTTTATTACCGTGAATATTATTTTTGTAGGGGGTTCATCCCAACAACTGGTATCAGAGCACAAGTTTTGCTCGTTTACTAAAATACTATTCACTGTCGGTAGTACTATACTCGATGAAAAATAAAAATGTCCGGAGTAAAGTACGAGGTAGCAAAATTCAACAGAGATAACGGTTTTTCAACATGACAAAGAAGGATGAGGGATCTGCTCATCCAACAAGGATTACACAAGGTACTAGATGTTGATGCCAAAAAGTCTGATACCATGAAAAATGAGGATTGGGCTGACTTGGATGAAAGAGCTGCTGGTGCAATCAGGTTGCACTTATCAGATGATNAAAGAATGACGACAACACAACCGCCATGGTGTAAAACAATGATAATGTTGTCATCTTTATAAATGAGAAAGAGGAATGCATGCACCTGTCAGGTCCAGAGTCGGAAAGGGTGGTTGACACAGCGACATCTTACCATGCCACACCGGTAAGAGATCTTTTTTGCAGATATGTAGCAGGTGATTTCGGCACAGTGAGAATGGGTAATACAAGCTACTCAAATATTTTGGGGGATTGGTGACATTTGTATCAAGACAAATGTCGGATGCACATTGGTTCTAAAAGATGTGCGGCATGTACCTGATTTGCGGATGAACTTGATCTCGGGAATTACTTTAGACCGAGATGGATACGAGAACTATTTTGCAAATCAAAAGTGGAGACTCACTAAGGGATCATTGGTGAATGTAAATGGAGTTGCTCGTGGCACGTTGTACAGGACAAATGCAGAAATATGCCAAAGTGAATTGAACGCGGCACAAGATGAGATTTCTGCAAATTTGTGGCACAAAAGAATGGGTCATATGAGCAAAAAGGGATTGCAGATTCTTGCCAAAAAATCACTCATTTCTTATGCTAAAGGTACAATGGTAAAACCTTGTGACTACTGTTTATTTGGTAAGCAACATAGAGCCTCATTTCAGACATCGTCTGAAAGAAAATTGAATATACTTGATTTAGTATATTCTGATGTTTGTGGCCCAATGGAAATTGAATCAATGGGCGGTAACAAATATTTGGTTACTTTTATTGATGATGCTTCACGAAAATTATGGGTTTATATTTTGAAAACCAAAGATCAGGTGTTTCAAGTTTTCCAGAAGTTTCATGCTCTAGTAGAGAGGGAGACGAGTCGAAAGCTAAAGTGTCTCCGAAGTGACAATGGAGGTGAGTATACTTAAGGGAATTTGAAGAGTACTGTTCAAGTCATGGGATCAAACATGAAAAGACAGTTCCTAGAACCCCGCAACACAATGATGTAGCCGAGAGAATTAACCGCACCATTGTGGAGATAGTGAGAAGCATGCTCAGAATGGCTAAACTGCCTAAGTCATTCTGGGGTGAAGTAGTTCAGACAGTCTGTTACCTAATCAATAACATTCCATCAGTTTCATTGGCGTTTGACATCCCAGAGAGAATTTAGACCAACAAGGAGGTGTCCTACTCGCATCTGAAGGTGTTCGGTTGTAGAGCTTTTGCATATGTACCAAAAGAGCAGAGAATAAAGATGGATGATAAATCTGTTCCCTGCATATTTATCGAATATGGAAATGAAGACTTCGGGTACAGATTGTGGGATCTTGTAAAGAAGAAGGTCATCAGAAGTAGAGATGTAGTCTTCCGAGAAAGTGAAGTTGGAAATGCTGCGATATGTTATAAAAGGCGAAGAATGTTATAATTCCTAACCTTATTACTATTCCTTCT